ACTTGCAGCATTTCAAACACAAAATCGATGAATTTAATTCAAAGAGAAGAAAAATAGTAAATTCACATGGTGGGCAATGGTGGCCCAATGGAAACTTTTACCCTCTCCTCCACCAAACATCAAAGTACACTTAATTATTTTATTATATTGCTGTGAAGGTTCCATAGTTGAAACGAATCAATTTTAGATTCTGAGAGAAACGAGGAATGTATTGGTTTTACAATGATGTTTTTTTTCCTATGAACAATATTTCTATTTATAACCAGCAATTTCGCTCTGATTTTCGATTAGTATAGCCCTTTTTTCGGAAAGGACATTTGACTGGGAAGGTACTTTAAGGAAGTCATTTTTTTGATTTTCCAAGCGGTTTTCATAATAATTATGAAAAACCGGGGAAAAACGTAGAAAAAAATGGAACAATTTACAAAATTAATGCTTTTATTATTTTCGATTTTGTTTGTTATCATTGCAGTTATGTGAAAAATTTTTGTCGAGACTTGAAATTTTGATATAAATCTTATATTATATTTTCTAGACATGGTGAAATTTTCAGAACACTAGAGCAATTTTCGAGCTATTTACAGACATTTTAATTTTGTGAGGTTTTTACGTAATATTTATTCGGTAGGCACTCTGTGAATAGAGCTGTTAAACCAAACAGAAATGCTTGACAATTTAACAGGAATTTTATTATAAGTTGTACTTTGCGGTCAACTAAAAAAAAGTTGACTTTAATGTAATATGTATTATTTTTATGCTTATGAAGAATTTGAATTCAAACACGGTCCGTACATCATAATATTATATCCAATGAACACCGATAATTATTCTCATCACGTAAAAAATTACTATCGACAATAATCGGTTTCGGACGAATAATTATTATTATTTTTTTTTGTAATACGTAAAAAAAAAAAAAAAAAACGCATGGATATTTTCTTATTATTATTATTATAACAAGGTCCCCCGTCCCCGTCCCTATACCTCATCACCGTATTATGCATCGTTGACCGGCAACGATTACACTTTTCGGTTTTTTTCTTCATGCTTCGTTACATTATAATGATATTGCCTAAGTACCTATTCCTATTATACTTGTTATTGATATATTTTATCCGACTCGTGACGGTGGAATCTAATATTATACTTGTACAGGTACGCGTGTTACCTGTAGCCGTCTACGGGTAGGTAACTGCTGCAAAATAATTAGACGTTAGGTGTATTGCGTATAGGTGCGGCCGTATTTGTTTTATCATTATAATATTATTATTCGTTAATAAATTACATATGGACACCCGCGACCGACAATTTATTAAGATCGATTTTTTTTCCCCCCTCGGTTTCTCCGACGCGAAAACCCGCACCACAAGCCATACATTATGTAGAATAATATAATAATACAATCGTGGTTTAGACGGCGATCACCCTATCCTTGGCTATTATTACGCGAAAATCGTGACTAACTAGGCAAACTCGCGCGTTGCCTGCCCACGGTAATTCACTTTGAACGGTATAAAGTGCAAAGCATTTTACTCGAATCTGCGACTCGATCTTTTTCCTTTTTGATTTTTAACATACCTCACATACATTACCTATATCCATTTCGTTTACACCAATAAAATTTCCGTCGATACAATTTAAAAACCAATACTAAAAAAATTAAAATAAAAAAAAGGGCCGATACTGCTGATGGGCGTGCCACTGATTTATGAGAGAAGTCGAACGTGAGGATGCAGACCCGGCCTTAGGATTTATGAGGCCCAGAGTGAAATGATAAACATTTTTATATTTTATTATATTATATTTCGTATTGTTGATATTTTTTTTTCGAAAGCGAGGCCTCAAATCAAAGTAATAAGCGCGAGACCCAGACTCTGGGTCCCACACCCCCCCCCCCCCCCCCCACCTAAGGACGACCATGCGAGGATGTATACAGAGTAACTCAATTTACAACTGTGCGCAAAGGTATACCGTGGCTTTACAAAAAACGATTCTGATCAGAGTATAATTAGTCGTATTTTCCCTTTGTTGCCAAGTTAATCATTCAGAAATTAATAAAAATAATACACAAATAATTGTAAATTTTTTGCAATTTATTAAGAAAACTACAAGGAAAATTAAAAATAATCCTTTAAATACACAATACATCAAATAGATTAAAACTGCTACTAGAAATCATGTAAAGTTTTTGATTGAAACAAGAATTCTGATAGAAAAGTTGTTTACAGACAAACAATCCGAAAAAAAGACACGCTATAATAAAACCGAGACACTAAAACAAAGCATCCCTGACCAACATATAGCTTGGGGGTGTTTAAAATTTCCTATAATAACATGACATTAGAGCATAAAAATGGCACAGGTAAACGATGCAGATTGAAATAACTAGAATTCGCATTGAATACCACGTGACTAGTAGTGAAATCAATACGCACTCATCGCTTTACTTAAATTTAGAATCTAAAAACAAAAACAAGTTTAGATAGCAATGGAGCTCTGCTACTCACAGGTGTTTTCGTTTCAAAACATTTGGTGATATGAAGTTTTTAATTTTTTAAAACATACTTCTGAATTTCTAAGAATATGTCTAAGATTATTCATATAAGCTTCTTCGCTTCGTTAAAAATCCAAAATTTAAAACTAAAAAATTCTTCTTAGACTTTTCATGGACATGAAAATTCGGAAATTGTATAACAGTACGCGTTGAATACACATTAACAGCTTCCTATTTCGATGTCGGAAAAAAATTAACACACGACGTAAATCGCGTCGTAATTGTTATAAAAAGAACTCAAGTGCCTCGAGTTAAAACCGATAAAGGCGTAGAGCAGTGCAGCGTAATTTATGTAGCGGCACAGCGCCTGGCGTTTGAATAGCGTTTTGAAAATGAATATTTTGGATATTACAATTATTTTTTCAGTGTTCATTCCTCTTGCTGTGCATTCCTAGTAACTATATTGTTATTTAGCGCATTTATACTTATTATGTCCTCAAATTCAGGCCAGGGGAGAGGGTCCGTTGTCGCCACTCGGCGCGGCCGGATTATTGGCTAACGGTGAGATTGGCCGCTTAAAATTTCCCCGATATTAATGCGCAAAAGGGACGTTCGTTTTACACGTCAAAATAATATATTATTGTGTTCTTAAACGATTATATTCAATAATGCCATTTCATCGTGTATACAAATATAAATCGAGGAAATGAACACGCGATTCGATTCATTTCGATTTGTTCTGGTTTTTTTTTTTTTTTTTTTTTTTTTTTTTTTGTTCTCGCGATGAATGTAACGCGATTTGACATTGGATTAGATGGTATACGAGATGTGTGTTGGCGTGACTAGGAAATCTATTATTACAAAAATTCGAAACAAAAATGCGAATATTTTTTCAACGCCTCCTTGAAATCGTACACGTATAGGTACGCGTAGAGCTAAGTGAATGCACGTGTGTAACCTCACGCATATTTTCGTTATTGTTGTTACTGCGTTTTTAGCCTAACCGAAAAATCGCAAATAAAATAACGACCGCCGCGCCAGCATTTTGTGCCGACCAATTTATCGCGCGCGGACACAAATCAGGAAGGCACGTAACCCGCAATTATCAATTTATCCACGACAATTTATACATTATAGGTAATTGCGACGATATTATCGTGTGCCTATATCATCATCATCATCATACGTTTCCGAAGGTCGAAATCGTCAAAACGAATCTTCGACGTTGGATGGATCGTTACATTATTATTATTATTATTATTGTTATACACCCGAACCGTATCTCGCCCGGTCTCGCTGTACGACCTAACCTATCACAATCCGAGACCCGACCTAAAGCGCGTGAACGGCACAATAGATATTGTAACGACAAATAATGCACCGTACTATTATACAGCTTGCGTCTAATAGCTGTCGCTGCAGGAATGTCTCGTACATAACCAATATACAGAGTGTCCCGTGAAGATGTACCCATATTATCGTAATGTCTCCGAGGATAATAAACATAATCAAATTCCGAGAGTTTTTTTTTTTTTTTTTTTCGTATATTACTCACTGGGACGAGCGCTACGGAATATAATTATATTTCAACGAATGCTAAAAAATGATTTTATTTTATTACTTTTGAAAAATTCGAAAATAGACATTTTATAGAGTTCGTCATTAATTTGAACATTTCGACGTATCGACTTTTGTTTTCATCGTCTAGGTATGAATAGCAGCCCCGCTTGTATCCTCGTCGTCTGCGGCGGTGAATGTTGCGATTTTTTCCACCTGTTAATATGTATTAACGCCCTTCCATCCACTCCAACAGGCTTAATCAAACAAATAGTTTTTCTTCGGTTCACGTTAATCTTTCTTGTTCCGCCGCCCTTTCCTCCAATAATGAAGTATTAATCAAACAATTGATCAGCCTTGTTCTTCGAGCTGATTTGAGAATTTAAAAATTTGTGAGTTTTATAAGCTCAAGCTAACAATCAATAAATTGTTAAGGTAATAATAATAATTTGTGTAAATTTCATCAAATAAAAAAAAAAAAAAAAACGGTGATCGAAATCGAACCTTTTTTACTCGGTTATAGAAAAATCGCATAATCCTTCGATGTAGTAGTGGAATATTTTTTCACGTACCTACCTCTACGATTTGTACGGTTTTAGTGCGATTTCTGTGTCATTATATTACAATTATCGTTGACAAACTGAAAACAATCGTATGGGGAGATATACGGTGTGAATGTAAATTGGAAAATGTATGCATTATGATATTGAACAAGCCTACGTGAATCATTTCGCTGGAATTAATATTAGTATGTTAGTATTTTTTTTTTTTATGTTCTTTTTTTTTTTTTTTTTTTTTTGTATGGCGCGATCAAATTTATTCCGATTGCGCAATAATAGAAACAACATTGACCCAACCATGAACATATTGTTTCATTATAATATCAGGTATGCATGCATTTTACATTGTACGTTTCGACGATAGTAGCAATAGGAAAAATTATGTAAATCTATAACACGAAAAAAAAAAAAAAAACAATAACGAAATGTCAACATATTCCAACTACAGTCGAAATAATAGTATGTAGGTACACGTTTTACTTGTAAATATCGAACGGGTATAACGTTAACACGTGTAAACAGATATTATATGCAGAAAATCTATAAGTTTTGAATATTTCAACATCTCGTGCACGGTACATAATGTATTCGTGCACGGTGTTTTACAAACCAGCATATTATGCGTACCGGCTGCACCCGAAGGGCGTTGCCGCGTGAATTCGAACACATTTCGCGTAATTAAATGTAATTAACTATTTTTCGGGGTTAAAAAAAAAAAATTAAAAAAAAACTCGGAATTCAATTTTAACGAATCAATATAGGTAATTTGCATTTTGACGTTTATAAATAATGTTTGAACATAAGTTTTCAACACTTTATAACAATAGGTTGTGTTACAAACCGATGTAATTGCCAATTAAAAAAAAAAAAAAAAAAAAAAAAAAAAAAATGAGCCGATATACCGGGGACGGGTGCAGCCACCGTTGTAGATGGGAAGTCGGGGAGCTAGGAAACACGAGGTTATTTCATTAATATCTGTAAGCAACGGTAAACCATTGCTGACGATTCCGAGCGCCGTTCGGTATGACACTGACCGCGACCCGTTACGGATGATGACGCGACGACTTTGTGCGGGTCTCGGAAAGTCGGCCCCGGATACTGAACAGAAGAGCCGCCCGTCTGTTATTTTAGACGGATTTGTGTGTGTAACGCATGCGATTTTACACGTTTCCGAACCGAGCGGACGGTTGGCGAATTTATCGCCAGGGCGGACTCACGGCGAACGCGACGTGGCGACTTTTTTTTTTTTTGAAAACTTTCCACTCGGACGATTCGAAAATTGCAGCCGAACGAAAACAATAAGAACTGAACAACGATAATGTGCCACGGTAAACGGCACCGGTTGTAATAGAAATTCAAAGTCTCTTTTCGACCGCGGTTGTTCAATATTCATTTGTGCCTTTTGAATTTTGATCGGAACCGAAATGTGTGTAATACATGTCCTTCCGGCGATTCGGATTTAATGACGGAAACGATACCAATAAATACTTCGATTTCGATATTCGATACCAGTTTCGGTCCTGAATTTCGCGGTGAGGTGTTCTAACTTGAACGAACATTTCGTGGCGGGTTTTCGCGACTCTTTTGCCTACTCCCGAATTTACGATCCCCATAGTAAAATTTACGAAAACGGTCACTCTTATAATATTTGATCATCGCTCTAAGAAAAAAAAAAAAAAAAGAGATAAATAAAACCGAGTGCTTAAGTAAATTGTTGGCATTCTTTATAACACATTTTATTCCGCTTTATTTTTCGATCTAAACTGCATATAAGTGTGTGTGTATTTTCGAAATAAGTGTACGTAGTTTATTAGCCTATTGAGTTGGGTAAAATTAGGTTAGGAAAATGCTAGTGCGTACAGTATTTTCAAAATAGAATTTACTTCTATTGAAAACTGTGCAAAATTGCAGAATTTTCCGTGAGACCTGCGGCGATACGTAGACAAAAAAACCGTAGGTATAACTAACCGTAACAATAATGTAAACGTCCAATCGTGTACAAACAATCGTCCGACGAACAATATTGAAAACCGCTGTGCGCGTGACGATGATGTTGCTGTTGTTTTTTTATTTTTTATCGGCCTCGTTGCTCGGTTTTTGTGGTAGGCACACCTAATCATGTTCGTTGCATTACGACGACCCCGCCACCGGTCGAAATGATGTTCTCGTGACCCCGTCGCACCGTCGTATACCATCGTATTGTAATAGCGAATGTACTGTCGGCCAAGTCCAAAACGCCAAGTCACCGTCCGTATTGAAAATAATAATATTGAAGTATCGATCCGCGACTTCCGATCGTATTATTATGTCCCGGCCGATCGGTAAATCGCCGCGCGCCGGCAGTGAAAACACATCGGGTTTTCGACCATTCAGAGTTACCTGACACGGTCTACTCGGGAAAACTCCGATAAGTCGGCGACCGCTTCTATCGATTTCAGACTAGGAAACGGTTTTGTAATTTTTTTTTTTTTTTTTTTTTCGAAAACTACCGCACTGCATTGTGTATAGATATTTATGTTTTTTCCATTATACTTTTGGATACTCCGTCTAGAACAAATAATCCCAGACTCGGAAATCAGAATTGTTTTATATAGGTGAAATATGATGCGATGAAAGTCGGATTCAATTTCAATACGATTTCGACATGTTTTTTACGCGGGAAGGGGGGGTTTTCGTAACTTTGAACACCCTCACAGATTCCACTATGTTAGTAGTGAGAATGGGCCTTTTAGGGCTCTCAGTCATTCAACCCTCCGGGTCGGAAGGGAATGCGCTCTGGCCCGAGGTGATTTTATGAAATCAGCGCTGTTTATTTAGTTCGTTGTGTACTTATGTACGTATTCTCTATGAACAAAAAAAAAGAAAAAAAAAGAAGAGAACTTTAAATCCTTTTAAGCAGAACAACACCTGAATTTAAAATACATACATGAGGTCTTCAATCTCAAATGTAAATTAAAAAGACGGCCATACTTCAGACGTGGGTGCAGCCACTGTTGTTGGTGGAAAGTTGGTAAGGTAGGATACAGAAGGGAATTTAATGTATAGCAACGATAAACCATTGCTAACAAAAAAACGATTCTAAACGGAGTTTAGTTGATAATGATAACAACAATATATATTTATATATGTCATAATATGGTAAAATAAATAAATAGGCATTATATATTTTCTTCAATAATATTTGTTTCATATTGTACCGATTTTCCTGCGTTTTTCCCGGTTTTCTCATGTTTTTTACATTTGCTGGGATAACTCTTGGGAAAATCGAAAAACGACCTCTTTAAAAAACCTCCCCGGTCAGATTTACTTATAGAAAAAGTGTTTTAATTGTAAATTCGAGCAAAATTCCTGGTAGAAAAGTTGTCCACAGAAAAAAAAAATCGTAATATTTTACTAATATTTTTATACAGTACATTTTCCCGTTTTTCTTCGATTTTTCACATCAAATGCGAAAACTCCTAAGAAAATCGAAAAATTACCTTCTTAAAGTACGACCCCGAGAAAATGTCCATTAAAATGAACGTGTGGTTTTTCGTTGAATATCCGCGCGTACCCGGCACCGCGGAACGGCCGTTGGCGGCAAGTCGCAACGGCGCGCCCGGTGCGCGGGACAGTCGGATTTTCCCGCGAAACCGTCGGCCGAGACCGTTCCTCGAGTTCTCGTCCCGGCCGAACCGGTTCGGTCCGTACGGGTTTGATTTCCCAAGGGGGAAAAAAAACCGCGCGACAAGCCGACGGGGTTTTAGGCGAACGCGATTCGGCCGATGTTTGTTTTCGTTTTGCGTTTAAACACCCGGCGCGGCATTTGTTTCCCGTAAAACTGTTTAAACGAACGATTTTCGTTTGTTTTTGTTTTTTGTTTTTTTTTTTTTTCCGTCAAATGATTTTGTAACCATGCCCAATCGAGCAGCAGCAGTAAACCGCCGGCGTCATCGCAATACCGCGTTATTGTCGTGTTGTTGTTAGCCAGCGGCGATCATTTGACGATGCCGCGGTGCGCGACCGTGCGATTTTCGTTTCGTTGGAATTCCACGCGAACCGCACGGCGACACGACAACGCGCACGTAGGCGCGCGCACAACACGAGGGCGGAATAAAACGAAACCCGTCGGCGGATTTTTTTTTGAAAATTTTTTTTCCGCTCCGGTTCATTACGAATACTATTGCCGTCATCATTATCGCTGTCGTTATTATCGCGGCGGTTCGCCTCGTGCTGCGACACGATACGACAATCGCGCGTAACGAATCTCGCCGTTTCAGATCCCCGGACCCCGCGTGAAAACAACACGCACGCTTACCGTGCGCGTCGTCGCGCCGCGCGCAGCGTATCCGATGTCCTGCGTCTTTTTTTTTTCGTCTCATTTTTTTTTTCCCTCTCGCGTCAACCGAACCGAACGGCAACAATCGCGCGACGCGAGAAACGGCCTTTTCAAAAACGCCATTCGTACGGCGGGTTTATTGGGTTGGGAGGGGAAGGGGGGACCGTTGGGAAAGTGCGCACCTGCGCGGCCTACCGCGGCCGTTTTTGGTTGTTTTCGTTCCGTTTTTCACCCGCGGCGTCGTCTCCGTTTCGGGCGTTCGTCGACGTCGCGGCGGTCGGCGTTTTCGCGTGCTGTTAAAACGCGCGTACTGCACGGAAACCCGCTCGATGTCGGCGTAAAAATCAAAACGACAACAACGAGACGTCGCGTCGTTTCCGTTTTCCCCGGACGCAACACTCTCGATTGACCGTTCGTAAATAACGTCAGCTAAAATATTTTAAACGCGCATTTTTTCTCGAAAAATCGCGACGTCTCGCCCTCTCTCCCCCCGGAATATTATTCACGGCGGTAATTTCACAACGGCCGCTTCTACCCGGAGATCCGCGTGGTCTGCGCGTAGACCGTGTTTTCCCTGTCCGTGACTCGCGTCCGTAAGACGGAAACGACAAACGCACGTCCTCATAAAACGTGCCGCGGCAAACAGCAACTGTCCAGACGTATGTCACGCATACCGTTTCGGTTATCCGGATGACGGCGAATTGAATAATCGAAATAATCGGTTGTCTAGATTAGAAAAAAAAAAAATCGGCGATCCGGATTCGTTTATTAAACCGTACGCGGGCCACGCTCACGCGTACGCCCGTCGCGCGTTGTTTCTAATAAACGGCACGGCGTTTGCGGACCGGGACCGGGAACGATCCGACGGTTCGGCCGCGTCGCCCGCGCGACGATAACCGATTCCCCCGCGGTGCGGCGTTCCGTTGCGGGGACGCCCAGTCCGAACGGAACGTCCGTTGTCGGCCGCGGCCGGGCGCAGCGCCCGTTAAGGACGAATCGTATCGTATCGTTAAACGTCGGAGGCGCGTATGAGGCCAATACGCGTAATATGTTCGAAAACATTATTGTTGACCGCGTCCGGGGGTGTCCGGCGCGCCGGACCAATTCGATAGCCGCGCGCCGCGTGTTGCGCGGTCGAAAATACCCGACGCCGCCCTTGAAACGATAATGATAATGGTAATAATAATAATACTGAATAATTTCATCGTATTAATCGTTTTTTGTTTTTTTTTTTTTTTTTTTTTTTTCGCGTTCGCGCGTCACGACGACATTTAAACTGTATATTATGTAACGCGTCGTGTTTTTCCGCGTCCACGTTTTCTGTACGTAGCCCGGACAACACGCGCCGTACATGATTGCGATTTCAGCAGTGTTTTGTCGTTATTTTTTTTTCAATTTTTCGTTTCGTTCATTCGTCGTATACGTTACGCGCGCGCGGAAACGTTAAACATTAAAAATATCGTTTGTCTCAACGGGGAAAAAAAACGGTTTAGGTCGGTTTTATACGCAACGAA